ATCGATGTTTTCTTTTTGGTGTGTGTGTGTGTGTTGTGCGTTAAAAGTGTGCTTCTGGTGAAGATCTTGAAACAATTGAACGTCTTAAGTTTTATGAAAGAAAATATAATTTAACCGTTTGACTGCTAAGCAATTCTTGCAAGAACGCACGAAAACTGCGGGACATATTTTGACTTGATGTTGTCAAATAAAACACTCTCATTTAGACAAATATCAATCAATTTTAATAATTCTTTTCGTATTATAAAGAAACAATATTAATTGTGATTGTGAGTAAGAAAAAATAAACATTAAATAAAAAAACAACAAAATAAACAAACGGAGCAACAAAGAAACACTGAAACACGCAGCGCAAAAGCGCTGCGCCGCGGTTTTCGAGACAAATGAACGCAGCGCTTTTGCGCCGCGTAGCAGTCAAACGGTTAAATGCCAAGGATGAAGTCATTTTAAAGATGCCTTTATTCGTAAAGAATGAAATGCCAATCGATGAAAATTTGTAATTGTAAATACATATTTTTCGCAATATTGTAAATTAATTTTTACCGTATTACTTTGATTTACTAAATAAGCCAATTAATCTTCTCGAACATCTCGTACATTTGCATCATATCACGAATGAATAAACTATCACCGAGAAATGCAGAAGTTTTAAAACGAAACGATTAGCATAGTGAAGAACTTAATGTAAGGATTAATTAGCGAATATCGAAGTGACGAGCGTAGAATGGAAGTGAGGTTCGAGGATAGCCCGATATTCCTAATCCCACACGCGCAGATTGACCATTCACGACGACACGTGTTATTAATTAAAAATCACATTACAGAACGAAAGAACATTTTTTCTTTCTCCGTAGAACTATGCCTCTGCGCTACACTGCGAAGCAGTTGAAAGGAAGGAAGAAGAAAAACTATTTAATAAAAATCGGTAGCGTTGTTTCGCCGCCTGAAATCTTAAACAGCCTCTATATTACATATATATATATGTACTATATCTATCCCTCTTAAAAACAGAGAAAAAATGAAATTCTGCGTTGTATGGATCAACAACCTGCACAATATTATTAATTAATACGTACATATATTATATATTCGTATATATAAATACAAATATATGTATACATACATGTATACATACTTATACGCATTACACGAGGAACCAAATATCAAGAGATAATATTGTACGTACCTATGCATATAATATATACATATGTATAAATTATACAGGGCCTGACTGAAACAGGTGACCAAACTTCGGTATTGTATTCTACTCTTCCTAAGGGTGGAAAAAGGTGATACAAATATACGTTGGGAAACCCTTCCTCTTTTAGATATAAACACTTTTATAACACTGAATTTTTACTTTTATTTTTCGTTCGTTAATTATGAAATTTTACACGAATGGCTGTAAACACGTAGAATTGCAAGCACCGTCGACATTTTGTTGTGTTAGAAATAAATAATATAATGGAACGAGTCGCGCTCCCCTAATTTAACCCTTTCGTGACCAATGAGACACGTTTGACTAAAGAAATTATTCGGTCGCGAAAGGGTTAAATTGTTTAGATTTTTTCTAGATCTTCAAACTTCAGTTTATGACAGTGGTATTAATTGATAGTATGGAAAATGTGAGAAAATTCGACCGTCTTTGAAATGTCGATGCGAATATTAACCCTTTGCAATCGAGTGGCGACTGAGAAGCGACGTTAATTGTCACTTGGTAAATAATGAATCAAGACAGAGAGCAGATCTATCGGCCTGCATGAATTTGTTCGCCGTAGTGAAACAGAGAATGCATTGAATATTTAAATAAAATCGCACAGTTTATTTCTACGTTAGTTTTAAAGAATTTCAAAGGAGATCCGATTTGCAACCTTTCCTACAGCAAAGTCACCTCCGAGTGCGAAGGGTTAATGGAGAAGGAAATCATTTCCAGCAATTTCTCCAAGTTTTAAGCATTCTTACCCTGTCGCAAGTAACAAGTGTTGATATTTCGAACAAGAAGTGTTTCTAGACCTATATTTATACCCTTTTTCTCATCCTTAGGAAGCGTAGAATGCGATACCAAAGTTTGTTCACCTATTTCGGTTACACCCTGTATATAGAAGTAGGATACCCAAGCGTTTCGACTTGTTGTGCACCTTTTGTAGATACGCATCCGCTTCTTCATTTGATCGTACATTCTTTCTGCGTAACTGCGCCGTTTTAATAGTCATATTACGATTATACACGGTACGAAATGATTTTAAGAAGAAAAAAGAATAGCACCGAATTGTCAGCTACGCATATTCTGTTAGCCCGCAAGTATGAATGTAATATTAGAAGATAGATGGACCACCTGTTTAAAAGTGGATTCGATTCATTTTTTATACAATCGAAAATACGTAAACTGTTTTATAATCGTTACATATGTGCGCCGATTCTCATGACAGACCGATATGACGCATATGTGCGTGATACACGTTGTACGGAATGCACAGTTTGCGTATTTCATTCAAATGATGTGTACATATAAGTGCGAACGTGCAATGTATTTAGTAAAAAAACTGTTAAAATGTAGCGTACATAACGGACAATTTGTCAAGTGAACGATGGCAGTGAATGCGCTGTTGTATGTCTGATTTGTTACTATTTTTAATAAGTTCGTGGCGAAAGAAAAAAAGGAAAATATTGTAAAAGCAATACAAGTACTAAAGTAATTTTATTTCTTATCAATAGTAAATTTATGACAAGAAACATTTTATTACAATTTATTTTCTTATCGATTAGAAATGGACATCTATTTATATATAGTTTATTTGTAATAAAATGTGATACGATTCATAAATTTAGAAGCTTAAGATTTGAACAATACCGAATGTGTTTTATTTAAGAAAAACTTCCATTGGAAATGTTGAGAACGATAAATTTATATTTATGCAAGAACTATTTACAGCGAAACGAGAAAGAAAAACTGTGCAATGTAATTTTCTTTGTGACATTCTATTTAGTTATTTTAACGACGATTAAATTGATAACTTTGAAACGAATTGATGAAACATTTTACTGAATATATTGTAAGCAAAAACAATGACAATTACATGTACAATATACATTTGTCAATAAGATGACAGATGGAATTAATATGGCAATAAAAATAATGTAGATCCAATAAAAATTATACTCTTTCTAAAAATGGTCCATCTACCTTCGAATGGCAGTATTTACCACAAACACATATTGAGCATAAAAGAGAATATATCTTGGCGTACAAATAATTAACGAACTTATGGTAGCATCGATTGCGATATTGAATCAGATACGAAAAAAAAAAAAAGGAAATGAAGGGTTGTAATTATACTTTTATGAGGACGAGTTAATTGTTCATAGTTAGTCGTATAGTTAGGTAGAAATCCAATGTGATATATACATTCAAAAGTAACTTTGTCTAAAAGTTTTACAATATATAGGGAGAAAATACGACATCCTATCGCAACATTTGCTGTAAACTTCTGCGAACGTTCGTTTTATTATTTAGGTTAATAGAACAGAAAATCCGAGACACACACGTTTACGAACAGGTACCGTTCGGTTCGTTCCTTGCAACGACTAAAATTTATTGTCGCACAACATTAATCGCGTTTTCGTTAACGAACCCGCCTAATTCACATTATCACAAAATGGCCTGTATTCGCATTACCTTTAACAATAGTTAAAATAAGGAACAGGATGATCTAGAATGTTGTGACCACTGTGGAATAACGATCGAGACTACTATTTTCTAATTGTGTCATTTTTCAAGAGAACCATGAACAATCTCTGCATTGTCACTTCATACCGATATATTCCCTGAGAATTACCGAACTTAAAACACGAGATTGCACAAAGCAGAAAATAATAAAAAAAAGAAAACGAATGGAAGAGTGAGATCATCACGAGATCACGCGGGACCATCATGGCAATTCGTTTTTCCGTTGATATTTTACATTTATGTAACGATCTCGTACGTCTTCCAATCATCCCACACACTGTTGTGTCTGTCTTGTACCCGTGGGATCTCCTGTCTTCTTAAAAAAAAGTTGTACGCTAAATAAAGGAAGATCTTACAATACGTCAATCTCCTTTCACTGTCACCTGTTTTAGTTTTATCTTTTTATACAAAAGCCAAGTATTTTGTTCGAATGTTTTACTTTTTTCACAAAATTTGTAGAAATGTATCGACGCACCTAGGCGATCACTGCGAAACCCAAAAGCCACAGAGGATTTTAAACAAGGATGACTGCAAGATACACTCCCACCTCAAAGCCTACATAGCTGAATTGTTGAAAAGACCATATAAAAACGGAAAAAGGAACAGAAAACACACAAATTACGGAACGTTACCAGCGAACGGAATACCGAATTACTTTAACGATTATTTTAAGCACCTCTATTGATTTCTCCTTACAGAAATTAACATACTGTTTTATATAAATGCTATCTTTTAAAAATGAAAAAAGACAAAAATTTCACATAAGACGCAGTAGGTTAAATTTGCTACTTATATTCTAATCAAATATTTGTAATAAATATAACTTAACAATAAATCGTAGAGATATAATAAATTGATTTCATTCAACATAAACTTTATCATTTTCTCGTGCATTTTAATATTATGTAACATTTTAAGGTTATGTAACATACGTTAAGCACGATACTGAACTACACACTGTCTGATGTAGCGTATTAGGTTGTATACGTCATATTGTTTGTTTTGATGCAATTTCCATGAAACGTCAAATAACATATATTTCTGCAAATATTTTTATGATTGAACATACAAAACCAGCACAATTAATTTATGTATAAATGTGTACACATTATGAATTTATAATTTCTTTTTATTCTAAATAAGTAAAAAAAGAAACAGTAGGTTATGCGCATTAACGGCTGGCAGATAATGCCGATATGCAAGTTCCGTTTATTATGACCGTTATCAGCAGAATAGATGCTCTATTTTATTACACTTCTTCCGGTGATGTAAATGCAATGGAAAACCTTTGTTTGAATTAATGGATTGAAAACTATTTCAAAGTTAGCTGTTGAACAGTGTGAACCAGAGAGATGGCAACAGAAATTGCAGAATCAAAACCCTTCAAGACTTTGAAAGAATTATATGAAAATGTGGACAACTTAAAACCATGGCCACCCATTAAACATTTAAGGGAGACAACAAATTATGTGTATCGTGGTTCAGAAGTAAATACCCAAAAAATATACTTGGAAAAAATTAATAGACAAGAACAACCAAAAACATTATTTTGTCATGATATGAAAGGTGGTTATCTTGAGGATAGGTAATATTTATAGAAGACTACTATATTTATTATATGATAAATATGTCTTATATTTAATACATTTTTTTCTTTTATTTCAGATATATAGATGGATCAAAGTTACATGAGTCTTATCTATTTTATCATTGGAGTGTTATTGATACCTTTGTGTATTTCAGTCATTATTTTATAACTGTACCACCTTTTGGATGGATTAACGCAGCACATGAGCATGGTGTTAAAGTTCTTGGTACTGTAATCACTGAGAAAGAAGGCATCTGGGATTCTATACTGAAATCTCAGGAGGAAGTGAGAATGTTTGCAAATGCATTAATTCATATTGCAAAATTTTATAAATTTGATGGCTGGTTTATAAATATTGAAAATACAATTAAAAATGATCAAATTACTAATTTAATTTATTTTCTAAAATACCTAAGGGAACATATTCATGAAGCAATTAGAGATTCTGAAATTATATGGTATGACAGTGTAACCAATAAAGGAACATTAAAGTGGCAAAATGAGCTTAATAATGAGAATGTGTAAGATTATTATTCTCATACTTTTGTAATTGTTTGTGTTTTTAGAATTGATGTAGTGGTTAATGGTACAAAAATATAATGTTTCAGAGAATTCTTTTTAAATTGTGATGGTATTTACTTGAATTACAATTGGACCAAATCTAAATTGGAAAACAGTTACACACTTGCTAAAAATTGCAACAGAAGTGTACAAGATATTTATGTGGGTGTAGATGTTTGGGGAAGAGGTTGTCCTGGTGGTGGTGGATTTAATTCAACATATGTAATTATAACAATATATACATTAAATTAAAGTAAACAATTAATTGAATTCTAATAAGATAATTATGATTCACAGGCTCTAGAAAGGATACGACAAGAAGATCTTTCGGTAGCGATATTTGCACCGGCTTGGACCCATGAGTTTTTTGGTGCTAAAAAATTCCAAGAATTAGAAGATTTATTTTGGGCACAACTTTTCCCTTATTTATATGTTCATGTTCCTGTATATAAAGGAGAAGTGTTCAAAACATCATTTTGTCGTGGAAGTGGTACCTTGTATTATCGATGCGGCAAGGTAACTTAAATATTTAAAAATATTTAAAAGTCTATTAAGTAGTGTATTCTGACTTGATCAATCTTGTACAGATACAATTGGATATGCGTGTTATAGAAGGCAGAAGTATATTTGAAGAGAAACCATTTTATAACTTATCCATACAGAAGCCTCAAATTTCCGTACCTGTACCACATTTAAAATTTACACACATTCCACAACCTGCTGCTCTAGGAAATGTAAACAGTCGAAACGAGTGTACAAGCAACTCAACGCAATACATTTATGAAACGAAAAAGAACATTATTCAAATATTAGGAAACGTTGTAAGCATTCATGATAAACTGCCAATGGTAGATGTAAATTATTTTGAATTTTACAATCAAACTTCTTTCGAGGGCGGTGGATGTTTAAAAATATTTACAAATGACCTGAGATATTATCATAGGTAAGAGCTTTGTAACAAATGTTTTATAACAAAAATAAATTTTTACGCTAATCAAGTATTTTTAACTTGTTCACAGATTATTCCTGGTTCAAATTGAATTTCAACAAGATATCGAAGCAACCATTGTATACGAAGCAATTGAAACGTCCGCAAATGAAACCAGTAATGAACCAATATTAATTCTAGGCAACGATACTGGTTTAAAATGTATCATACCTTATAAGTCGGAAAGCCTGAATTCGAGATGGAAAAAATGGTAAGTTCATCAAACGTTAATATAAATGCTTAAGACATTTGAAAAAAAGAAATAAAAGAAAAATTAAGAGATTAATGGACCAGAAAAATGGAATAATTGCAAGCACTTATAATTAAATTAAATTGGTATTAAATAATGAAA